ACGGAAGAAGGTACGCGAAAATCTACAGATCTACAGAGCAGAGCGGATAAAGATTTTTCATTATTTCAAGATATTAGACTTACTCTATATTACAGAATTTTTTCTCTCTATGCACAAAAATAAAAGGGGGTTCCAACCACCGGAACCCCCCCCCCTCTGGATCCGCCAATAAATATTACACTGTAGGGCTACAAGGATGAGACTTAATTGTACTCCTGTACAAGGTGTGGTGGCATCTTTGCCATGGTATGCGCAGTTGACCTTGTCCCATGTGCATTTTGCCTAATTTCTCCGAGTCCGAATAAGTATTCCCCAAACCTGGAGTAATCGCTGTCCTACATTCCTTCACCTTATTTTTAAGCCAAAAAAAAAAAAAAAAAAAAATGGATGCACACATCCTGCCTTAATTTCTTTTCTTTATAAATATTTTAAAGTACTCAAATCATATCCTAAAATATACACAGGGTCAATCTAATAGATAAAAATGGGTATATAATGTACTACATACCGGTAGTATATGATCCCTTATTATATGTATTCCGATATACTAGTACAAATAATTTCGATACCGATAATATATTCTATAATACATTCCGAGGTTTACCAATTGGATCCTGATATATAATTTCGCGTGATTTACGTTCCTATGAAAGTACAAAAATAATGATGACGTAGAAAAACTTGCGCGCCATCTAGCGTTAATTCAGGAAATATATGTTTTTATGGACGCCATCTAGCGACAATTTAGTGAATAATCGTTGGTTTTGCATTGGTGATCGTTGGTTTTGCATCGGAGTCTGTTGATTTTGCAAACGAGTCTGTTGATTTTGTTTTTAAGGTTGTCTGTTTTGTATTCCATTATGTTTATAAAATTAGTTGTTAGTTTTGCATAAACGTCTTTTTTACACTTTCCGCCGCCCATAGTTTTCCCCGTTTGGTTTGTTTGTTTTTCCGGAGAAATATAAGTTTTCGAATTTAGGGGAATGGCTTAATTACATGTACTAGTAAATTCTCTAACTGTTACAATAGCATTTTACTCAATTAACTCGAGTGATACCTAAAGTGCTGAAAAAAGATCAATTCTATAAATAAAATACATTATTCAATGTATAACGAAGGGATTTTGAACAATTTTAAATAATTTTCAACTAGTTAAAAACTCATTGCTGGATAACGATAAAGGTGAAATATACCAAATTCACTAGACTAATAACTTGTAAGGAGACATTAAACTTTTTGATATTAAGCTATTCAAATTAATGTGAAGTTTTGATCATTTTTTTTACATTACGAAACTACTCTTTACTTTAAATCTAAATTAAGTCGAACGGCAGTATGACAAAGTGTATATATAAATTCGAAATTTCCCTCCGTCGAGACTGATAATGAATTCATATGGAAATTTTCGCAAAGTTTCAAAGATTGGTATAATGAATAATAGATAAAATTCTAAGTAAATTATCATTGAACAAAACAAAAAACATCTGAAAAAAAGAAAATAAAGATTAAATTATGTACATGTATATACCTGTATTCTAAAATTTATTTCTTATTGTAATTCCATAATTTTAAATAGTAGGAAATAATGTATATCTGCAACTCAAATTTTAGTCAATTTAATTTTTTAATCAAAAAGTGACTAATGCAAAATTATTTCTGCAATTTATGAAAGATGTGCAAAACTCAAATTCGTGGCTTCCGTAGGAAATCATTGAATAAAATTGATTTAAAAAAAACATATTCTTTCGTAATACCATCCTACAATACAATGGGATAATTTTTTCAAAGAAAAAATTGAAAGTGGAAAGCGAAAAAAAATTAATAATTTGAATTGCGGAAAGTAAGGATGAAATTTATCATTTTAAAATATAAGATAATTAAAATGTTCTAAATATGAAAATCCGTAATTTCTTTACAAGGGATAATATTCCGGAGTACACAAATCTACTTGATCAATATTTTCTTTGCATTCATTTAATCACGAAAATGATACTGATATTGAAAAGAAGACACTTCTTCAAAAATAACTTCCATAAATTATAATTCATTGAAGTTAATTATATACAGATGTCAATTAAAATGGCAAAAACTTCTAAAAATGTTTTGAAGTTATAGTGAAAATGTAAAGAATAGCTGTTAATGATATGGTTACTGAATATTTTCCATGCAAAATAGGGGTACGACAAGGGGAAAACTAATTTCACATAACAATTTAACAATATCAAATGAGATTGAAAAAGAACTAAAAATGCTGATTATTTTGTATGCAGATGATACAGTTTTACTATCGGAATCACCCGAAGATACAGAATCAGTTGCACAGTTTTTTTATTGTATTGTGAAAAATGGAAGCTAGAAGTTAATATAGAAAAAACAAAAATAATGATTTTTTCAAAGGGACGTATACCGCATAAAGTTTTTTATTACAATAACAAAGAAATTGAAAATGTTAAACATTTCAAATATCTAGGAATTATATTCTGACAAAACAATATGCTACTGAAAGAGCAACGAAAGCTATGTATGGTATTTTGAAAAAGGGTAACCAATTACATCTTTCTCTTTATGACCAATTGTATTTGTTCGACAAGATTGTAATTCCAATTTTATTGTATGGTTGTGAAGTGTGGGGTTATGGTAATGTTGAAATGATAGATAGAGTACACTTAAAATTTTGTAAAACGCTTTTTCATTTAAAACCAAGTACTCCAAATTTTATGATCTATGGTGAATTAGGTAGAGTACCTTTAAGTATACATATCAAAACAAAAATATTGCATACTGGTCAAATATTTTATATGGAAAACAATCAAAATATTGTTTTTTAATGTATAAATTACTTCGTGCAAAATTTGATAATGGACATGAATCTAAATGGTTAAAGAATTTGAAATCAATTTTAGACAATTGTGGATATAGTAATATTTGGAACCAGAATCAATTATTTAATAGAAATTGGCTTATTAAAAGTTTGAAACAAAAATTACTAGATCAGTTTCAACAAAATTGGATTTCAACCTGTAAAGATTCTTCAAAAGGTGTGACATATAATCTATTTACAAATTTACACTTTGGATGTCAATTTTATGTAGATAGCAGGTTAAATAATTATAAGAAACAAATTTTAGCTAGATTTAGAACAGCAAACCATAAATTACCCATTGAAACAGGAAGCTGGGAAGGTATTGAAAGAATTAATAGATTATGTCTTTTATGTAAAAATGATCTTGGTGATGAATTCCACTATATTTTATGTTGTGAAAAATTAAAAGATGAAAGAAAATTGTACATTCCGAAGTATTATTTTACAAGACCAAATATTATCAAATTTAATGAATTGTTTTCTTCAAAAAATGTTTGACTATTGAGTAAACTCTGTTCTTTTATTAAAATTTTAAACGATCAAACCTCCAGGTTAACATCAAAAACATATATGGAAATACTTGATTATAAGCACACTTTGTATATATGTTATATGTTATGCTCACGCATGTAAATATATGTTATAATAATATGTATTGATCTCTGTGTTGTTAAATAACAACCAAAGAGATGTTAATAAACTGGTAAAGTGGAACAGATAAAATTAAAAAAAAAATAAATAAAAATCATTATTTCGCAATGGGATATTTACTTAAACAAATTAGGTAAACATCCACTGGTAAGGTAGTTGTAAATTTCTTTTGAGGTCAATGGGGTGGAATTTCGTGAATTTCAAATAAAAAAATCATGAGTGAAAATACCTTACAGCACTAGTGTGCACTCAATTGAAATAGCTACGGGGCGGATTTATGGGAACGCTATTGGACGACAGACTTTAACAAGCTTAAGACGATAATTAGTGATTAGTCAAACTATTGATAGAGATCAAGTTATGATAAAGGGCGAAATTGAGCAATAAATATACTAAATAACTGCTGATGTAACAAGGAAATAAAAGATTTTTTGCTTGTTTTCAGGTACTAGAAATAAGGCCATTCCATTTTTTATCTATGTTTAGCGTCCGCGCGCGCTTTGGTTTTTTACACCCAATTTCAGAAGAAAAAAAGTAGAATATCAAGTCCTAAAACTGATTATTCTGGTTGCATTCTTCGAATTCTATCGATGTTTCTTAGATTTTGTCTTGAATATGCCATACAGCATTGGATACTTTTATTTTGCCAAGAAATTGCTTGCTCTTTCTATAAAAAAGATAGATTTATGAAATCAAATCCTTTGAATGATATAATTTTTTTAACTATAAAGCTTAGCACTGTGTTTTAATTTTTGGCTTGTGTACAGGTACATGTATTTTTTGCAAATACCATGGTAGGTTTTTGAAATATGGATGGACGCAAAACAGAGAAAAAAAACTTTTGGTGGCTTAAAGCGTTTTCCTTGTATTTAAAGTAGCATTTCATTAGATAAAAAATAAACAATAAAAGTGCTTTAAAATATCATAATTTTTTTTTAAACTTGCATTCAGAAATATCGTAAGCTTGGAATCTAATTAAATATTTTTTTATGAGAGGTAGACAAATGTAGGTTGAGGGGAAAACAAAACTATGAAATCAGTGTAATTTTACAGATCTTTTCCCCTTTATGATATAACAATTAAGCTAATAATGAGGTTAAATGCTTTAGATATTTAACATACGAATTCATTTAAAAAGATAGCAATCAATTTCTAGCAATATTCATGCTCGAGTATATTTTAAATGGCAATTTATTTTGACAGTTTATTTTTCGATCATATTAATCGGCACGATTATTTTGGTACTAGTTAGGGGAATTCCTTTGGACTTAACTAAGTTAATTAAACTTATAAATAACACTCAGTTACGTAACATTGCCTATAATCTCTTCAAAATTGTATTATTTATAAAACCCACGTGGTCAATCACAAGTGACTCTCATGCAATGATTACATTGAGTACCTTTTATATCTTACCTGACAGGTGTGTTCCTTTTGTATAAGCTCCGCCCCCTCCTTGTCAATCTCAGCATGATATCCATAAAAAGGCCATTTTTTCTACAAAACGCCGTGATTTGGAATCAAAGTTCAATTGTTCATCACCACTTCAAATTCAAGAAGAAGAAATGTCTCGGTTTAATGGATCTCCCCCTCCTTACTCGGAGAAACCGGTGAGTCTTATTTATTTATCTTTTAAATGTAAATAAGCATCCAGGTATATGCATTTATATTTAATTTTGTATTTGATTGCTAATTAGGATTAAATTATAAACGATGCAGATGTAATTTTATTTTCAAGGACATCAATTATTTTTATGACGAATGAGACCGCAGATGCGGTATATTAATTTATTTGTATACACTTCTGCTTGTTGTTACTTTTTTAAAAAGCGATATAATGCGTCTAGATATGGCATGTTTTCTAACTTTAAATATCTTTTTTTTCCCAATGCAATAACTAACTTTCATTTAAAAAGTTGAAACATTTGCCCAGTTGATCTACCAGCATTGCCATCTAAAGATTATAAAATACACAGGTATAAGGGATTGTGACAGTTAGGCATGAATAAAGAGAGAAGACAAGTATAAACATTGTTTTTGACAGGCTATTCATTACATTGGATCAAATTTTCGTCAGCAAGACAAAAAGGAAACACATCCTTCGTATTTCTGACGTATTTGTAGTCTTGTCATCCAAAAACACCGTCGTTTGTCCCTTCTGAATGAAAGAATGTGTGCTTAATGTGCCCTGATGCCCGGACTTTCCCAGTATTTTACTGCTTTTGTTAAATTGTGCAAGTTATGAAACTATTGTTTTATTGTTCAAAATGAAAAAAAAAAACTTTTGACTGCAAACGTTTCAGAATAGGGCGTTTTATATTTATTAAACTAAGTTATGATAATAGATGCATTTTTGCAAAAACTAAGAAACTCCCAGAGCGATCTTTAACACGTTCGTCAATTACTAACAGATGAGTCAAAGGAAATGTATAATGAGAACTTTACAATTAAATACCACGCGTTTTAGATAAAAAAAAAAAAGAATAAAATTCCATGAGTTATAAAAAAAATTCATCTAGTTTTATCCACTCATTCTTTACTATATTAATAAACTAAATGATAATATACACGTAAATATCACACTTGTCAATAATCTTGTTTACTTCTACAAAAGGTTCAAAAAGTTCACATCAATGAAAAACACGAAAAAGTAAACCATTCTCTACCCAATTACCTCCTTAAAAATAACGCGTAAATAATTTCAAGGTACGGATGCGTGAGAAATGTATAAATGACCCACCGATAATGAAACGGAGGGTATCGTTGTGGACTTTTTGTGTATATTGGACGCATTATGATTTTTCAGGGGGACTTTGACGAAAAATATGAATCCAGCCGAGTCAATGGGGACAAACCTTCGGACAAGGTAAGATATTGCCAAGAATTCTTAAGTTGACATAAAAGTTGGTAACACGATATTTTAGTAGCCAAGATTCATTTTTTTACATACCATCATATTTGTTCTCAGGGTGAAACAAACGATAAAAAGAGATCTACCAAGGGACAAGAAGCCATTCAGATGGTAAGAAAATAAGGGACCTCTATTTTATGTCACGTTCACTTTCATAAAATAACGCTATAGTTTGTCAAGAGGTCCATTTTTTTAAAAATAGAATTGTGAATATAAACTTAATGTGCATGCCTGATCAGCATTTTTATCTCTTTCATTTTCAGAATGGATATGAAAACAAAGGATTCGACAGCACAGGTGAAAAGGTAAGTTACAGTTAAAACTAATTGAACATAAACAAGAAAAAAAAAACTATGAATTAAGTTGACAATGCATTGTTTCGTGTCGTTAAGTTTATTGACTTTAAATTCCAGCTGGAAATTTCTCCTACAGAAGAGGAGGAAGACCCATGGGCACTACCCGAGCTTCAGGACACAGGAATTCCATGGGACGGTATGCATCAATATTTAATTAACATAATCTGTACTGAGTTCTGTTTGCAAATAAGGATAAATTTTCCGACTGAAAATTTTCTAAAGGAAATAACGTGTATTTAATTCTTGTTGAATTACCGATACAGAGTTGGACTTTGGTGGCAAAGTTCTCCGAGTTGTATGGACGATCGTACGAGTTATTCTCTTCCTGACATGCCTGTACGTCTTCTTCTGCTCACTGGATTTTCTGAGTTCTGCTTTTAAACTTCTCGGAGGTAAGTCTTCTTTCAAATTCCACGATTTCAATTCTTATCGTCTAAATGTATGTTTTATAAGTCAATCAATCCCTCCTTGATCTTTTTTCTCTAGGTAAGGCTGCTGGCGAGGTGTTTCGAAGTAACGTTGTCTTGCGGAACCCCGTGTGTGGGGTAATGATCGGAGTCCTTGCTACAGTCTTAGTACAGAGTTCTTCCACCAGTACATCTATTGTGGTCAGCATGGTGGCAGCCGGCAGTAAGTGAACATGTTTACAATTGTACTTTGCTTGTTGCAAAAATGATTCGCAAGCATCAACCACTCTTCAATCGCTCCTTATCTGTATTCAGAGTAAAAGGTTATATATTTTCCATTTTTTTTAAAGTTCTGAACGTGGGTGAAGCGATTCCAATTGTGATGGGCGCCAACATCGGAACCTCGGTTACCAATACCATTGTCTCTTTGGGACAAATCACGGACGTTTCGGACTTCCGGCGGGCGTTTGCCGGGGCCACGGTCCACGACATGTTTAACTGGCTGGCTGTTATAGTTCTGTTGCCTTTAGAGCTCATCACCGGTGAGTCGTCATGGAAACGAAAAAATGTCTAAACCATAAAAGGAAATTTATATATATCAGTCTTGTGTAAGACTTAAAATGTAATTTAATAATTTATTTTGATTTTTCAGGGTACCTTTATTATCTGAGTGGCCTAACTGTAGACAGCATGCACCTACAAACGTATGAAGATGCCAACAAAGACCTGTTAAAGACGATCACCAAACCTTTTACTAAAATGATCGTTGAAGTTAGTATACTAGTATTCTTAATCTCTAAAAAAAAATCCGATCCACTCATTGTTTATATAGATTTCTTATTTTGCTTACCCTTGAGTGTAAGTGATACAATTTCCAAATCCTTAACATTTCTTGTTTATCTTTTTTTTGTAGGTCGACTCCAAACAGATTAACAAAATCGTCACTGATGGAAAAGAGGTCGATAGTCTTCTTAAAACGTGCTGCAAATCGAAAACGATCACGCAAATGAATGCTACTGGTTTTGAATACGAGGAGAAAATTTGTGTAAAAAATTGTAAGTCCATTATTTTTCTCTTCTCTACTATCTTATTTGCAGTTGCTCATACCTGTATCTTTATTTTAAACGTATCAAAACATTTATTTATAAATCTGTCTTTCTTAAGGCACGCATGTTTTTATGGATTCTGGCCTAACAGACGCCGGCATTGGAAGCATTATGTTAGTCGTTTCCCTTGTTCTACTCTGCATTTGTCTCTTTGGTATTGTCAAGATTTTGAACTCCCTCCTAAAAGGAAATATCCGTAAAGTCATAAAGAAGTTCGTAAACTATGAATTTCCCGGAAAAGCCGCCTATTTTACTGGTTACATCGCCATTTTGATTGGCACTGGCCTTACCATTTTGGTTCAGTCCAGTTCTATTTTTACCTCCACTATGACGCCATTGGTGGGCGTTGGTGTGATAAGCATCGACAGGATGTACCCTTTGACCCTTGGCTCCAACATTGGAACTACCACTACCGGAATCTTGGCAGCTCTGGCGACTGACACTTCAGATGGCGTAGAGCACCTTAAAAATTCCCTTCAAATTTCCATGTGTCATCTGTTTTTCAACCTAAGTGGCATTATTTTGTTTTATCCAGTGAAATTCATGCGATTTCCTATTCCACTAGCAAAATTCCTTGGCAACACAACTGCTAAATATCGTTGGTTCGCCATCTTTTATTTGTTTATGATGTTCCTCGTCTTCCCGCTGTTCGTGTTTGGAATCTCTCTGGCTGGAATTGAAGTCCTGGCCGGCATTGGTATACCCTGCCTCTGTGCTCTCGTCATAATAGGCATCATTAAGGTGCTCCAGAACAAAAAACCAGAATGGCTTCCAAAAAAGCTCCAAACCTGGAAGTTCCTTCCCGTTTACTTCCGGTCTCTAGCGCCATTAGACAAACTTGCGTCTAAACTTTGCGGTTGTTGTAAAATGTGCAAAAAAGAGGACAATCCTAAAGGAGATGTTGAAAAACAATTAAACACTAAATTGTGATGCTCTGGTTTGAATGTATTTTTACCTCTTTAAAAGTCTTACTAATTTGAAAAAAAAAATCAAACCGCCTTGTCGCACGACTGTAAATGGCAAAAATATTGGTTCAATACAAAACCACAGAAAGCAATTAAAGAATGTGTTCAATGTTAAATTGAAAATATCTGTCTAAATCCAGAGAGAGAGAGAGAGAGAGCGCGAGAGAGAGAGTTTTAACACCCCTGACGTTTCTTACAAAAACATTTACACATGACGAAAAGAACACCAGTTGTTTTTGATTTTTCATTTTCCTTCAACGAGGCTGTGATATGAATGTTTTCTTTCAAGGAAAGAATCCCTTAATGTATATTGTGTATATTATATTTTTATGCTGTTTTGACGCACTTTGAAATATATATTTGTAATATTGTTATATTAAAATGCTGTTTTATATTTCCTTATGTAGTTTTTTTTTATTAGAATAAAAAAAGAATTTGATATAGCGTGCTGTAATTCATAGCATTACAGAAAGCATGATTTTGGACTTGTACACAGGATACACCGTTATTCGAAAAAAGTTGGAATTGAAAAAAAATATTTGAGAGAAGAACTGGTTTCACATTTCCTTCTTCAGACAAAAAATTAAGGACGCAGTGGTTGCTGAATGATCAGCGGTAATGGTGGTCGACAACATTCTCTCTAGGTTTTTAGAACTTCTGCTGAGCTCACGCTGCAAATTCTTATATGAATAATTTTCTAATTTTTAAAGCAGAGAAAAGTAGGAATATAGGAAATAATATACATATATACCGTATAAAGCTACAAATATGTTAAAAAAATACAAAAACTTCTCGCCTCTTAATAATTTTTTTTTCCAAACAAAGCAAACAGAAAACAAGTCAGCATGGTGTGTTACAAGGCACTTTGAAAAAAATTTTGAAAGTGCGTTAAATATGGGACACAGTTACAGCACTTTGAAGATTTTCTTTTTCATAGTGCGTTTATATCAACCATATTAACACACTTTGAAAAAATAATGTGCACGGATTGGTCAATATTCTAGCAAATAACTAATATATTATGTCTATCTTTTGCAAAAAAAAGTTTGAAGGGAATGCTAAGCCCCCCCCCCCCCCCCCCCCCCGCCCTTCCCCCTAGGTTCTGACGGTTAATGGAGGTATGATGGCAGTGGATATTAATGGACTTTCAACTATAGAATGAAATAAAATTCATAACAATAAGGAATTCATCATATTTTACTATATATTTTCTTTAAAATATGACCTTTAGTGCAACATGTACTAGAAATGCGACAAAATGGGGTCTAAGTTTTTAATAAAAAAAATTTCTCACATAATATGTTGGTCTTTTCCAGTTATTTGATATACATGAAAACAATGTTTATTCCCGAACAGAATGTTGCCTCATTTTTTCTAGATCAGCATCTGTGAGTCTCTGAGTCCCCTTTTTTTTTAGCTCTACTGGTCAGAGACCAGAAGAGCTTATGCGATAGTAATGCGTCCGTCGTCCGTCCGTCCGTCTGTCTGTAAACAATTTTTCAAAATGCTACTCCTCCTACAGTTTTGGTCTGATTTCAATATAACTTGGCACACAAGTAAACTACACTAAGATACATATTTCTTTGTATCAGTTTTTGATTTCGATGAACGGTGTTGCCGTGGTTACTGCAAATAGACATTTCTGTGAAAAACATTCAAAATGCTACTCCTCCTTCAGTTTTGGTCTGATTTCAATATAACTTGGCACACAAGATGACTACACTAAGATACATATTTCTGTGTATCGGTTTTTGATTTTGATGAACGGTGTTGCCGTAGTTACTAAAAATAGAAATTTCTTTGAAATACATTTAAAATGCTACTCCTCCTACAGTCTTGGCCTGATTATGATATAACTTGGCACACAAATATACTACACTAAGATACATAATTCTGTGCATCAGTTTTTGATTTCAATGAAAAGTCTTGCCATGGTTACTAAAAATAGAGATTTCTTTGAAATACTTTCAAAATGCTACTCCTCCTTCAGTTTTGGTCTGATTTCCGTATAACTTGGCACACAAGTAGACTACATTAAGATACATATTTCTGTGCATCGATTTTTGATTTCAATGAGCAGTCTTGTCATGGTTACTAAAAATAGAGATTTCTTTGAAATACTTTCAAAATGCTACTCCAAATACAGTTTAAGTCTGATTATAATATTATTTGGCATGCAAGTAGACTACACCGAGATACATAATTATCTGTTTTGTGTTTTTGATTTTTATGATTGATGTTGCCATGGTAATTTGAATTGAAAGTACTGTAAAATTTTATTAAAAGCTACTCCTACATTTGTAGTCTTGTAATCTTGCCACAAAAAGAGACTTAATCAAGGATCATTATTCTATTTATTGGAGAGATAAAGAGGTACACTGAGGGACATTGTATATGCCTTGTCCTCGTTTTCGATGAGGGTGGATCATCAGTTTTTCAAAAGAAATGTAACAAAATAACGTAATCTTTTATTAAGTGCCTCCATGGTTGAATATATTAATGTACACCTTTAACGCACTTTCAAAACTTTATTCAATGTGTGTTGCTTTAGTCCCAATTTTAATGCACTTTGAAGATTTTTACATAGGGCGTAATTTTTTCAAAGTGCGTTGCCACAATGGTGACGTTCCTACAGAGATTATTTACTATGGCTAATTCAGTAACTGCTTTGTATTACCGATGAAAATTAAATATCGGTATATAATTTCCTACAAACTTTTTAAGAATTGTTTAGAAATGTTCGTTTTGGCAAAAGGTCATCATTTACTCAAATGTGCAGTCCTTTACTCAAACTGCTTTATGAGTAGTAGGAATGACATGAAGCAATAATTGAAAATAAACTTCTATATCCAAATATATTTCTTAAAAAAATTGACAAGAAACTTCTAAATAAATGAAAATCAATCATAAGGATCAACAAGATGTGTTTGTGAAACACTATGCGCCCGGCGGCAACAAAGGTCGGAAAAAACTATTTTTAGAATTAAGTTCACAGTCAAGGTCACAAGGTCATTGACCTTGGTGTCATTTGGAAGAAACTGATTAGTGGAGTTTGCATACCAAATATGAAGTCTCTGTCTTTCATGGTTCAAAAGTTATGGCGAAGGTTCAAGTTTGCAGAAAAAAGCTATTTTTAGCATATAGACCACAGTCAAGGTCACAAGGTCATTGACCTTGGTGTCATTTGAAAGAGCTTAATTAGTGGAGTATGCATACCAAATATTAAGTCTCTATCTTTCATGGTTCAAACGTTATGGTGAAGGTTAAAGTTCGGGACAAACAAACAAACAGACAGACAGACAGACGGGACAAAAACAATATACGCCCTGGATCTATCGATTCGGGCGCATAAAAATAATATATTTGGGCACAAGAACTGGCTATTTGATGCACCTTTCCTCAAACAACGACAGTACTATTGGAGCATCTGATGACCACACGACTGTTTTTTGTCGCTTCATCTATTTTCACGTTTGTGAACGAGGATAGGTCAACCGAAAAGGAATAACCATAAATAAGGCTGTCATTTATAAGAAAGAAAAGATATGTATCCAACATAATATAATATGTATTATCGAATGATATGTACATAACTCAATTTGCATGCTGACATTTCGTAAAACACCCGGGGCAAGGTTTTGTTTTGTTAAACAAACTGTTGACATCGTATTATTTGGTGTTTTTTTCATTTGAACGAAGTGTAAACAGAATCCAAGATGTAGTTAATAGTTATTGATAATTTGAATTTTATTGTTCTTAAAAAAGAAAATGTACACCTAAACTAATCGGAGTACGTACTAATTATTCCTTGCGATCTATTGTGTATAATTTTAAATTTTCCTTTGTGGTCTTGTCTTTCTCAAACTAAAAAAAATGTATAACAAGAGTAATTTTTCACTGTCTTCAGAAACCCGACGTGAGATTAATTAGGACTGGAGACTGAAAGAGACCCAAAACGTCTGGTTTAAGTTTTGTAAGGAAATCAAGCACTCAGCGATCAACTTAACCGACCGGGTTCAGAGACCTCAGTTAATAAATGAAATAGTTTTTCACATTTAGATGTCAACAAGACTGGCCAAAAACTCCCTTTAAGCTCTAAGTAGCGCCCTTTAGAAGTTGATACAAAATGTGTGAAAAGAACAACTTGCTGTTGGCAATGTCTCTATTACCTAGGTCATGAAGCCTACATAACCTTCAGAATTGTCCATATCGTCGAAGTTTGATATATATTTTAAATATTACATAATAAGATTTTTTTTCTTTTTTATATTTTATTTTGAACAAATTTTATTGCAATATAGTGACAATGCATTTACACGGGATTGGATAAAAATTTCTTTGCCTTAAGTGTATCTATTTCCGGTAAATGTAATTTGTATACTGCATTTTTTAAAATGAACTCTAAAGGACAAGGTACGGAAATGGCCGAATCTGGCCCTTTATTTGATGTAAAAAAAAAATCAGAGCACAGTTAATATCGTGATAGTTTGTAGTTAAAAAAAACCCTGAAATTGATGCTCTTTCAAATCAGTATCAGCTGCAACTTTGACATGGGAAAATTTAGTTGCAAATTTGTAATTAACTATTTCAATAACAGAAAAAAACATTTCTAGATTTCTGTTGTTCATATTTGCGATGGAAGAACTATTTACATTGTATAAGCTTTGACTGGTGCTAAATTGCATTATTGTCGTCCTGTACAATATTGATTTCTTATATTATAGTACTAAGCATATCTTTGATTAATCAGAAAAAAATCCCCTGAAATAGTTTATTTTGGTCTTATTGATCATAAGTGTTTAAATTACATAAAAATTAATCATAATCACACATTTTACTAGCAAAATAAAATTCTCGAAAATGCAGCTCATATTGCTTTAAACCAGCACTAATTTTAAAGGGGCTGGGTGGTCGTGGCCATTGTTAGACTATTTTGATCTCCTTAAGAAGAAGAGCTCCATATAAAGAAATAATAAAATGATCAAATTTTACAACTAAAACTAAAATTTCTGAAATTTTTCTTTGCCAAATGATAGTTGACAGCTTAAGATATCATATCTAAAAAAAAAGTTATATCTGGTGGTTAATAAAAAATAATTTGTTGACCCCCTAGCCTCCTTAATTCAAAACTTACAAGGAGGCCACAGAAGGGTGTAGAAGAATGAGAGAAGTTTACCGAATTTCCTAAATTCTGGTGGATTTTTTTGTCAAATTTGAAATACTTATCACTTTGAAAAACAAAGAGCACAAGCTTACCTTTCTTAGATTTTTATACACATGATGCATCTGATACTAGAGAATGCAATATATACATGTAAGTATGGTAGATACACAAGCCTTTGCTATGTGTTTTCTGAAACAAAATGTGCTGTCCAGTCTTACATCGAGAGATGGTCATAGCA